GGGAAGACCGGCGTCGTCGGCGTCGTCGCGGCGCTCCCGAACGAGGACGGCGTGCCCGGCGGCGCGAAGAGCGGCGTCGCGGGCGATTTTGGCGTCCGTGATGGGGTCGATGGCAGCAGGGTGAGGGCGCGCGGTGGTCCGGTGGCGAGCCGTAGGGCGAGCGGGCGCGGTGCGTCCGCTGCCGGCGGCTGCGCCTGCTGCTGCTTCGCTTTCGACTTGGACATGCCGAACTTCATGCTGGGCTTGCGCGAGCGCGCGCTGAGCGAGGTCGTGCGGGCGGGCGGGAGCGGGAGCGGGGGTGCAGCGAGGGAAGCAGACGAGCTCGCGGAGGACGCGCAGGCGTAGATATCCGCGCGGGTGGGGTGCTCGGAGACGGAGGCGTGCCGGCGCGTGGGCGGCTTGACGAGCGGGCGTGCAGAGGAGGTCGATGAACGTGTGCTGGATGGTTCGCACAGGGGAAGGGCGACGTGGGTTGCGTGGTAGGCGTTCCAGGACGAGTCGACATTTTCAGCAAGCTGGGGCGTTGCCCCGAGCACGGCCCCCAGCTTGCGCGTGCTGCGGACGAGACGACTGCGCTCCCTGTGGTTCAGTACGTTGCACGTCTGCAACGGAGCGGGGTATGGGCGTGAGTACAAGTCGTGCTCCATATCCGACGGTTATCGGGACAGCCGGAATAAGACGCTTGAGATTGGCGGGGCGGTGCAAAGGGGGGCAATGAAAGCGAGAGGGATTTTCGAGATAATGCAGCGTAGTCGCAGAACAGGAGGGGGATGGTCGGTCGCAGCACTGAAAGATGTTAAAAGGGCTGCAGATGATGGCGTTCGTAGCCGTTCCCACACGCCACTCGCGCATGACTGCATTCCGCGACCACAACGAAGTTCGTACCTTGTCTATCACCGGAGGCGTTGCCAGGAATGTAACAACAGCAACCAATTGACAGACAAGCACAGTTACGACTCCGAGCGGCGAGCAGGGGCTGTGCGTCCTGGTGTCGTCTAGAGAACAAGGATTGCTGCCTAATGTGGGCACGTGGGAGGATCTTCAGTCATGCTCTTACAGCATGGACCAAAAAGATATAGTATGTAGGGGCCGACGAAATGGAATAGTAAATACAAGGAAATGATAGAGTCGAATCTCCCTGCGAACTCAGTTGGAAGTGAGGCGTTAACTGTTGAACCTAACGTTGATGTCCAACGTCAACATTCAACGTTAGCCTGAGGCAGTCGGGAGGAGCTGTTCGCGGTATGTTGCCAGCACTAGTGATCGAGACGATACAAACCGTGTCTCCGGCGACCGCTCCTGTCCAACACTGTTTCCTGCAGGTAACTGGAGATGCATAAGTGAAGTGCGACGTTGACGACGTGGTCGAGCAGTTGCGGGGCTGTCTCGCCCAGCTGCATGCGCTACCGTCGCAGTTGGCGGCAAGCTCCGCAAAAATAAGAGGCACGCCTGGGGTCGGTCGAATAACACCTACCGAGTCCAACCGTCTGTTTGGCAGTGAGGAAACTTCAGCGACTTCGTGGCATCGCTATCTGGGCTGCCGGCGAGTATCGCAGCCTTCGCTAACCCTGTCAGTCACCTCAACAGAACAACGACTGCGTGAAATTGGTGGCATTCCAAGAGATCAAACTACTTTAGAACATAACAGAAGGAGATAGTCGTTTGAACCTGTAGCAAACCACTAAGCCCAAGAAACGATACGCAACAAAATGATCTCGCCGAGCGCGGGGACGTGCTATGCGGCTACGAGAACAATCCTCCCTTGCGCCCATAAATTTTCCATCTCGTTTTGGATAAAAGATGTGAAGTCGTCCATGTCCAAGTCATGAATCGGGCCCTCTTGGGAGCCTTGCCAGTCACGGTAGCGCTGGGTACTTGTGGCGAGAGAGAGAGTAAGCGTCGTCTTTGCAAAGCGTGCTTGGCTGAGAATGATGTCGATGAGCTTAAAATTGAGTGTCCGAAGGTCCGCAAGGCTGCGTGGTTCGAGATTGAATCGGACAGACTCCACATACGACGAGCGAACTTGCGAGAGCATCCGCGAGACCCAATGATTGTCCCCGTTATTGTTGTCCCCGTTATTATTGATGGGAAAGCCCTGAGGCTGACAGAGACGACTGGCAATGAAGTTCTGCAGCTGTGTACACGTCTCAAGTCCGAAGTTGGCTAGAAGTCAGAGGTGTCAGAAGCATCGTGAGCAACAACAATAGGTGACGTACAACAGCTATAATTGTCACCAACGAGTGAGACATCCAGCTGGGCCAACACGGGACCCATGGTGCGAACATAGTGCGGAAACGTAGCGAAGCCAGTTCCGGAGAGCCACTCAAAATGTAGTCCTTCCTCGACTACCTTTGGAAGATGTGACAACCAAGGGCCTATGAGCCTTAGCGGGTTTAGCTGATTGGGCCCACCCAGGATGCCAATGACTGCCAAGCTCCGCAGCTTGGAGCCAGGAATAGTCTCGATAGTCTGACAAGGGAAGCGTTCAAAGTCTAGTTCCATCTCAGGAAGGAGCCTGCACTCGTCCAGACGAAGTCTCGTAACTTTGTGGAACGCAGAAAGGAAGAAGACGAGGTCTTCTCCATGCCGCCAGGCGCCACAAACCAGGGTCAGCTCTGTAACCTGTCCAAACGCCACGCTCAGCCAGTCACGGTCAGCTGCAGAGCAGTATATCCAGTCCATGAGCGCTATCGTGAGCTTGGTCACGCGGGTAAAGCGCGAAAACACGGTCCAAGTCGTCACGTCGTCTGTCGGCGAAGGTGGCCTCACGAGGATCATGTATCGTACTAGTGCTGCGATTGTAGGTTTTGAGTACCAGTGTGCAAATTCTTTGTTGTAATTGAATGACGGGTGGTAGACTCGTGCCGCATGAAGCCGTTGTTGGCTCACGAGTGTCCAAGAGCGATGCGTCAACGCGCACGCCTTGAGTGCCTTCTTGTCCCGTATGAAACCAATAATGTGATCTAACATCTCTTGCGGGACATCGTGTATGGTTTTCCTGCAAACCGGCTGTAAGTTTTAGGACACATGGGCACTACACAGTGTGTGTACCCTGCCATGGCTGCGCGAAAATAGTAGATATCGCGGCGCCAAAGAGAAAAGCGGACACAAAGAAAGCTATAGAGATTCAGTCAGCAGATGTGTGTAGGCTGAGAGCAACATGGCAGACCTGCTCGGGGGACGAGGTGGTGGCAAGAAGTAACCTCAGCATGGGAGCCGCCAGTGCTGTCGAAACTAGGCGCCGGTGCTTTCACGGCATCTTAGCTGTAAGCATTGTTAAAGAGTAAGAACCCAGAACATTATAGAACGCGCAACATCCATTGAGACAGCTTGCGAACCCGGCCTTAGTATGCAGCAAACATGTGAAACGTGGAAGTTGAACGTGAACGCCAGGCAGTCGGGAGGAGCTGTCCAACAGCTCCTGTAGAACACTGTCTCCCGCAGGCAACCAGAGATGCATGAATGAAGTGCAACGTTAACAACGTGGTTAAGCAGTTGCGGGGCTGCCTCGCTCAGCTGCATGCGCTGCCACCGCAATCGGCGGCAAAGGCTGCGCGATAAATCGAGGCGCACGCAGGATGGTCGATTGCAGGCATTTACCAATCCCAGCCGTCCGCTTGCAGTGGCAGCAAAGAAAATTCAGCAGCCATGTGGCGCCACCGACAGCGCTGCGGGTGAGTCTTGCATCCTTCGCTGATTGTGGTACGACTGTGGTACCAGCTACTTGATAGAACGACAACAGCTGCGCGAAATTGCCGGCACTCCAGGAAATCAGACTAATCTACAACATGTGAGAACGAAAGAGCTGTTTGAATCTGTAACAAACCACCGAGCCCGAGGAACGATACGCAACCAAATCGTCTCGCCGAACGCCAAAGGCGCGCTATGCGGCTACGAGAACAATCCTCGCTTGCGCCCATAAATTCTCCATCTCATTTTGGATGACAGACGCGAAGTTGTCCAAGTCCAAGTCACGAATCGGGTCCTCCTGAAAGCCTCCATGCCTACGCGAGCTACGATAGCATTTGGTACTTGTCGTGAGGGAGAGTGTAAGCGTCGTTTGTGCAAAGCGTGTTTGATTGAGGACGGTATCGATGAACTTGAGATTGAGTGTGTGTAGGTCGGCGAGTTCTCTAGATCTGAGGTTGAACCGGACAGATTCAACATACGACGAGCGAACTTGCGAGAGCATCCGCGACACCCAGTGGTAATTCCCGTTGTTATTCGCGCGATAGTCCATGGGCTGGCAGAGATGGTTGAAGACAATGTTCTGCAGCTGCGCGCATGTCTCAAGTCCGAAGTCGGCTGGAGGCAAGATGTGTCAGGAGCATTGTGGATGACAGCAATCGAAGACGTACAGCAGCTGTTATCACCGGCTTTGAGCGATACATTGAGCTGGGTTAGCACAGAACCCATGGCGCGAACATGATGCGGAAGCGCCATGAAGCCAGCTTTGGATCGCCACTCGAACTGCAGCCCTTTCTTAATTATTTGGGGGAAATGCGACAACCAAAGGTCCACAAGCCCTAGTAGGTCTAGTCCGCTGGTTTTACTATCCCAGATGACTGTCAAGCTCCGTAGCTCAGAGCCAGGAATAGCCTCGACGGTCTGAAGTGGGAAGCGCTCAAAGTCTCTTATTCTCTCTGGACAGAGGCTGCAGTTGCAGAGCCGGAGGCTCGTAATTCTGGGGAACGTAGAAAGGAAGAAGGTGAAAGCTTCGCTGTGCTGCCAGGCGATATGCGAGAGGTTCAGCTCAGTGAGCTGACCGAATACTGCCCCCAGACAGCTGCGGTGCAGTACTAGGTCCATCTCAAGTCGATGATCTTAAGTTTGGACGCGCGAGTGAGGCGTGACAACACGGTCCACGTCGCCATGTCGTTTGTCGGCGAAGGCGGCTTGACAAGAGACAGGGATCGCACCAGCGCTGCGACGGCAGGTTCTGAGTACCAGTCTGGAGAATCCACGTTGTAATTTCACGTTAACCTCAGGGCGTAAAGTCGTTCCGCATGAAGCAATTGCTGGCTCGCGAATGTCCAGGAGGGGTGCGTCAACGCGCACGCTCCAAGTGTTGTCTCGTCCTGAACGAAGCTAATAATGTGGTTCAATATCTCTTGTGGAACATGGTATATATTTTGCCTACAAAGCATCATTAAGTTTGAGGGTGCAAGGGTACTGCAGGGCGCGCGCACCCCGCCATATTGGAAAGTGAAGACAATACCAGCGTCCAAAGAAGCAGGCCGGCTGCAAAGATTTGGTTAGCAAAATGTACAAAGCTGAGAGCATCACGACAAACCTGCTCGGGGGACGAGATGGTAGCAAGAAGTGAGCTCAGGACATATATAGGAATTTGAGCGCCCTCCTGAAACGAGGTGCCCGGCGCCTTCAAGGCTCTGAATGATATTGCCAAAGAGTGAGAAAACGACGCAACAATTCCGCAACCTCCAGCTCGCAGCCACTGTTCTTGTAGTACTTGTGTTGCAGAGGTCCTGCGGGCTGAGCGCTGAGATCTGAGACTCGGAGCTTGGCTGACACTGGGTGGTAAGCGCGCTCTTTTCCGGTGTAAAATTGGCCAAAAACTGATTGAACAAGTCCCCAACTTTCTCCGGTTTTCACTTGAAAAAAACCGAAGGCAAAACTCAGTTTTCCGCCAGCTTTGCTGTGTTTTAGACCATTTTGGCAGGTTTTGCACCAGTTTCTCCTCAGTTTGCATCGGCGTAGAATCGAGGAACAACCGGGCCTTGTTTAGCCGCTTTTGCCTGAGTTTTCTCAAGAAAAAAACTGCGCTTATCACCCCGTGTGAGAGGCCCTAACACTAGGTGGTAGGTGCAGTTTTTTTTGCCTGCATAACCAGCCAAAAGCTAGGCGGACAAGAACCTGTGTTTAACCGGTTTTCATTCGAGAAAACTTGGAGACAAAACGTCCTTTTCCGCTAGTTGTCGCGTTTCAGCCTCTTTTGGCCGATTTTGCACCAATTTGCGCAGCAATTTACCCCAATATACAACCGGGGAACAATTGGTTCTTGTTTTTCCAATTTTGGCCGGGTTTCTTAAAGAAAAAAACCGTGCTTACCACCTTAGCGCTAAGCGCCAAGCAGCTACTAGAGCGGCATATATTTCAACTGGGAACTCTAATAGTGAAACGCACACGAACGCATGATGCCTCAAACATAGAACGCGCAGCAGAGATTGAGCTCGAGACAGCTCACGTATATGTATGTCATTCAAGCCTTAGCGTCATACAAAACAAGATAAACTGGGCGGATAGCGTCATCATCATATACGCATGTCTCGTCGAACTTCAGCCCTCCGTCAGACGGTAATCCACAAACCTGGCAGAGTCGTGTTGAATTTAGCATCTAGCCGAACGGGGTCTGGGATGACTGACCGAGTCGTAGCCTTTCGGAGGCGATGTGGCCCTACTCATCGCGTCGTTTGTCTCGTGGGTCCGTCCAACGACCACGTTGTTCAGAAGCATAGCTTTATACTCTGATGGCTGACCATTCTTGGAATATCCAGCAGCCCTGCCAGTGAAGAAGAGTTAGCTCAATGTGCGATGTTTCATCCACCAATGTTGGACTGACTTCGACGATGTCGTTGAAGAGTATATCCCCTTACCGTACCTGGGCAGGTCATCAATTTATGTTATGGTCAGAAAGCACTAGCTCACCTGCCCCTACTGTCAGAGAACTTCTTTTGGTAGCTCGTGCTTATGATCTGACAGAGTGCACATTGGGGGTCGCCGCATGGCCGCAGGTTCCGCCCATCGTCTCCAAGCTTGCATTGTCGGATCGTTCCGTGCCAGAGCTTCTGTTCATTACCGACCCGTTTTCTGGTGAAAGTTCTCAGCACAGCGTTCTGAGATATAGAACTGTACACACGCATAGGCCCCATACGCATCCTCCGACCTTGTGCTTGCGGGGTTAATACTGTAAATATATTTAATCTCTGGGCGGGGGCGAGTTGTATGTCGCCAGCTAGTAGCAAATTGAAACGACACTGTAGAAAGAACAGCGTTGGTAAACAGATCATAATCTCAGTGATTCAAGCCAGTGCTCTCCTTACCACTGTTGAACACAGAACTGGCGTGAGATATAAGTTGCAAGCGCTGTATCCCTGTAGGTGAGTTGTTGGAGGCGGTGGATGGCTTGGGAACTATTTGAGAGGGTAAAGTTAGCTTTCATGGGCAATAGATACCAAAAAGTGAGAGTCACGGTGGCCCTCAATGTTCGACACTCCATCGTGCCAAGAATTGGGTATCGTCCAATCGCTCGTACGATCCATGTACTCCACATAGCAATGGTCCGGATCCGTTATGCTCAGTTGCACGTTCTGCAGCGGCAGTTAATGATCCCCTCATGAGAGTATTGCGAGCGGCGCGACCTACCCTTACGTTGCCTACTTTAACCATCTTCAATACGCGATCTGAAAGTCCCCAGCTACGAATAACTCCATCGTCCTCGACGACCACCCAAGCGCCGCCATAACCGAAAGATCCACATCGAAGAGGAACCTGGTGCCCACTGGTCTTGTATTTGCGAAGAATGGTATGTGATCTGGACGCGTAAATGCGTGTATCCGTGTCTACAATGTAGTACCCTTGCGGCCCAAAGGCAACCCAGTTTATTTCCTCGTCTGAGTCCCATATGCGCCAGACTTCGGGGTACGTCATCTTCGTGCTGGATGATACTGTGTCTGTTGAGTAATGCCGAGCAGCTGAGACAGATACAGTGGGAATGCGTACACCAAATAGAACCATTCTGTCGCCAAAAACATGCTCCACAATCGCCAAGGGAGAACGCCTCCATTGTGCCTTCTCGCTTGAGTCGTTCTGTGATGGCAGAATTGCTAATGCCCCTCCTGACGTATTGCTAAAAAAATCCATGCTATATTCTATGAAGATGACGAACACACCATTGGGCCCGACCGCCGTTCGATATGCAGTATATATCGTTCTTATGCCCGAAGGCAAATATAACTCTTTGAGAGGCGCTCTGCTCTGTTACATGTTAATTCGTATAAGCTGCTTTCGCTGAGCTTAACATACCCCCGGGGGCTGCGGGCTCGTCCGTACGGACAGCTTGAATGCAAGTAGTCAGACACGTAAGGATTATGACCTGGAATCCCATGTCGCTCACTCATAATTTCGACCTCCTCTACATTATGGGTCCATGTGGATGGCAGACACCAATCTGTCTCACCGTCGACGTACTCGACGAAATAATGGTTTGAGGAGTTCGCACTCAGTTGGACATTCTAAAACATCAGAAAATCATTCAAAACACGGGCGTGCGCATGACCGAATACGATGCCTACCCTGACGGGCTTCTTGTCCAAGGCAGCCTTGATCTTCGCCGATAAGCCCGCAGAACGTATGACGCCGTCGTCTTCCACAACAACCCATGCGCCATCGCACCCGAATGATGCGCATCGCAAGGGAACTTGGTTTCCTCCTTCTTTGTATGTACGCACTACGCGTTCTTCGGAGTGCCAATAAATCTTCTCGTCTGTGTCTACGACGTAATCCCCCTTCGCACCGAATGCTACCCAATTTATGACCTCATCAGACTGATAGATCTCATGGATGCGAGGGTAATAAACAGCAGCTGAGCTGGAAACTAAGCAGAGCAGAAGGATTGCCGAAGTGAGCTAGCTATAGCTGGATTCAAATACGGCAGCGTACGACAATATGACCCGTTTTTCCCGCTTCGCGGGGCTTCTTTGAAGAACCAAGTGCTGTTCACTCCGAATGAGATCGCTCGCAGAGGATGATCCTCCTTCAGGTGCTTAGATAGCGAGTCCGGTACGCCCTTCCTGGATTGGAGTTCGGCCTATCAGTCTGTGCTCCGCCACTATGAGATGAGATCCTAAAAAATCGAGACTGACCAATAATTCTGCCTCCCGTGGGAAACATAGTATGTCCCTTCAGATCGACCGAACGCAAAGAGCATGCTGGGTTGCGGGAGGCAGAGAGATAAGCCTGAGAGAAATTAGACGCACGCCTGCCAGTTCCTTGACCGCAGTACATCTTCCGTTTGTAGAAAGTCGTTCACAGGTGTCCAAAGAGCTTGATAACTTCGTGTGCCAGTCTACTGCTCGTCCATATATCTTGAGGTGCCTAACCGTGTGTCACTACAGCGCCTTAATGAGGCGATCAGGAAACAGAATATGCTACAGCTCACAAAAACCCACAGCGGGACAAGGGCGATCCTTCGTGGGTGTGTGCTGATGCTATGCGGCAAAGCTGCTTTTGAAACTGATGCCGTCTGAAGCTTCCTTAAACTGTAAGCACAATATACAAACTAAGAACAGCATTTGAAGATCACTTCAAGACACGTATCGTACCGAGAGAGCTATCGAGCCTGCAAAGTAACAAATAACAAGACCAATCCGGGGAGCACTT